AAGCCCATAGGGTGGTGAATACTGAATTTTCTGCCCCTGAACCAAGGGCAAAACCTGCGAGCTAACTCTGGGTCCTTGTAGACCATCTCTCCATCTCTTCCTGTTTCCCTGTTTGTCTCTCTTGGTGTGGGCAAGTTTATGCTCTGAGATAAAGCAGCAACGCCCTGTGAGGACATCGCGTTTCTGTTGCAAGGTTGTTATCCGGGAAAATTTAGAAATAGTCACCGTTTAACGCCGAAAGGATGAGCGGCAATTGTACGTCTAGCAAGGTGGGGCCATGCCAAAACTCTGCAGGGTTTGGTTTTTGACAACTGTCAAAACAAACCTGTTTGACAACAAGGGGCAAGTTGCTCATACTTGTCCACGTACTAGCTCAGTGGAAGCGCTCTGCACCAAATACGTACGGTCCACCCTGTGTCACCATAGTCTGAGGTGGAAACAGAGAACATTGAACTTTTCTGTATCTTCAGAAAAGATATGTTTCCTTCCCCTTCAACTCCCCTGTCACCTGAGTTATAAGCCTTAGGTCAGCAACTTTCTGGTTTTATTAAAGTAATTTCAGTTCTGAGCTGAAGAACAGCAACTTTAACAGTTTTCATTCAATTGAAAAATGGAAAATAGACTCAACGGGAGAGATACTATGGGCAAAGGAGTTTAACGTTAATGTTTTATTTCAGTAATGACTTCTCATTGTTAGTGAAATAGGTGGAAGTAAGTCAAGATGAGATGATTTTTGCTGTAGCTTGAAAGTGGATGACTATGGGCAATGCGTTATGTGGAACTGCACAGGGCAGTGCAATGCTAAACGCTAGCACACCAAAACTGTGTGCAATTAGATGCTCATCAAATGCAACCATGGAAGATAAATTAGCCCTACATGCTGCTAATAACTCCTCGTGGGAAGTGAGTGAATTAAATACTTAAAAATGATCAGGACTGAAGGGGCAATCTGATCTTGTTAGCAATGAGTAGTTCATGCAATCGTAAGCCGTCTTATTAAATGGACGGGTGAGTAACTGCCCGTCGGCAGAGCCAGCGTAACCGGCTGCGCACACTGCTCTGAACTCAACGCAAAGTACAGTAAAACCATTAACTTAAATTGCCCTGAAGAGCTCAGGCGACGGGTGATAAGCCAATTGCTTGCCTTCATGTGCATATACCCCTACTGAAACAAAAAGACTAACTAGAACCTTATTTTGGGCCATGGAAAATCTGAGGTCATTTCTTAGGGCAATCCTGTGCATCGCTGGAAAGATAGTCTTGCTCTGTCTCTTTTCTCTGTCCATAAAATTACTCAGTCTCCCAGAAGAGTAAGTCGAGTACACTGATTATGAGGAACTCAGGTTATGGTGAGGATGTGGACATAAACATTTCAGGTAGGAAAAAGCGCTAGTCTTTCAGCAGGCTGCAATGTGTTTGTCATGTTTTTCTCACTCATATTAGATATAGTTGAGGTGGGACCATATTTTCTCCTAGGCTTGTGACAGCTTTCTGTTGCGTGTGGGAAGGTCTGCCATGTATTTCTATTTTTCTTGCCTCCCTAAACCAGGCCTTGTATTCATGGGATGATGGTAAAAGATGCAGCTCTGCGCCGCTGAGAATATATATTGTAGAGTAATGAAGCAACGTGAAAACGGCTGGTGCACGCGCCGAAGAAGATGTGGTTGTCCCCTTTAAACTGTGCCTTCTGCCAGCAAGATCTGCATGAGGAGGAAGGCGGTAGACCATGTTTCAGCAAAGGACTGTCTCTGGCCACTGCTCCCATCAGCAGTTCATTGCTGCCATTTTGAGGTAATACTGGTTATCCGCGTGGGTTGTCCTCATGGCATAGCTGTCTGCTACAGCACGGCGAGCACAGCGTCCGGTCCAGACAGTCTGCTGCGTAAATATTTTGCTCCCAGGAAACTGTCAGACTAAGCTTAGCAAATGCTGCTGGAAATCTATGAACTTTAAATAACTTCCACGTGTGAATACAGGTCCTATTTATTAGCAGAGAAAAACGATTAACGCTTTTGGTCAACACATCTGATTCAGTCTTATGCATCCCATCTGCCAGCAAGCCACTCTGAGATGGTTAAATGCAAGCGTAGTGACGTATCGCACGCTTTAAACGTAATTTGTGGGAAGCGTGTGCACATTGCAGCTGCAGAGGTAGCAGGCAGCAAGGCAGCGCCCTTTGAGCCCTGCTCGTTCCTCTCGCGCGGCGCAGCCCCGGGTTTCCGCCGCAGCGAGCGCTGGGCAGGGGCACCCGGTGGCCTTTGCAGCGCGCTTCAGAAATGCCACGTCAGAGCTGCATTGCTCGTTGAATTGCTTTATGGCCAAGGTCTGGGGGAGAGAGATTAAATTCCTGACAGATGCGAGACTTGCAGGTCCCCATGGGCGCCCTGAATCCTGGTTTCGTAGCTGCAAAACCTGCTGTCAGAATACGCCTATCGATAGAGGCTGCAGAGGTAAAGCAGAAAGCAGCCCGCGCTCTTTCCCCAGCCCCGTAAGCCGTGCGCACAAGCACTTTCACCAGGGCCGAAACACATCCTGGTACTAATCTCTCTTTGGGCTGAGAAAGTCTGAGGACACTTTGAACTGTGCGTTAGCAATAGAAAAATTCAAGTTTTCTCGCTGAAAAGCTACAGAATATTAGTGGAACGAAAATTTCTTTTCACCCTGAAGCCACGGACGCGGTTTCCAGCCTGTGGGTGGAGGGAAACCGGGTGCAGCGAGGGGCAGCAGTGCCGGGCGGCCCAGGTCTGCCGGGTCCCGAAGCGCTCAGCGTCTCTTCCTGCGCTCCCAGAGCGACTTGGGCTCACCGTACGGCTGGAAACGCACAGTGACACAGGACCGTAGCTGCCCCAGTAATACCCACCTACTTTAATTCGATCAGGCATCGCCGTTTAGAAAAATTGGTGCCTACAACTCGGGGGAAATCAGCATTAGGTAGGAACGTTATGTCATTTTCTCAAGCAGCAAACGGAAATAATTGTGACTCTCAAAACAAAGTTATGCAGTGAGGTGCATTTCACAAAGATTTGGATATATGGGGGATCGCTGTAGGTGTTTCGGTTGCTCGACGAGGAGCATAGACCCTTTGATTAGTGCATACAGCTGGCGTGGGCTCAGGGGTGCTCGGAGCGGCACCTCGCTCCCCTGCCTCCTGCAGCCACGTCCAGCATCGCAGCTCCCGTTTGGTCATGCTTTTAAGGCAAGTGGAAGAAACGCTGAAACTTTTCTCTGGAATTAGATAGCTGAAAAATAATGTGCTTTGTCCAAAACTCAAGGTTGACCCAAAGCAAAGTGCCTTGCAAGGAGCATGTTGCAGGGAAGCTTTAGTTGCTATTTATGAAGTTACATGTTTATAAGGAAGAGTGGCAAAAAAGATTGGAACAGCATCAGAGGTGGCATGAACAAGTGAAAAAATTTGAAGGAAAATGTGGAGATTTTTTGGTTGGAAGTGGCTTGGAATTGCAGGCAAATTATTTTGTTTTCATTTAATTTTTAATTTTGGTGAAATCAAGCTTGCTTAAGGATGTTTTCGAAGATGCATTACTGCTCTCAATCTTTCTCCTCACTGAAGCAACCCAGAACACTTTGGATGTGGAAAGCTACTCATTATCATAATGTCCTGCAGCACTTTTCTAATTAGTAGTCAATGTTAGTTCAGGACTGTAACTACCCTAGCAAGTCTAAATTACATTTTCACTATAGCTAACCATGTATTTAGCAACTGAATTTTAAATCTTTATCTGCAGTGCCTTCTCTGTCACAATCTTTATACATCTAGTTTTGTAATAAATTAGAATTGGGGTAGTTGTGGAGCGAAATCCAGCTGCAGCTGTATCTGAGTTCAGATTTGCATGCCCCTTGGGGGTTTTTGCTTCACTAGGAATTCTTTTTCAAAGCCTTTTCTGAATTGAAAAATTTGAAAATAAAAATAGATGAGACAAGAGCACATCTCCTTTGTGCAGTGCTTTCTTTCATATCCTAATCGTTCAATAGATAAAATATTAAGCCGGCTCCCTGATGCCATAGTCTATACTCGGTCCACAATATTCAGAATGACCGTATGTCTAAAACACAGATTGTTTCTCTTGACTAAACTCCGGCAGAGTAAAAGCAGGTCGGGCACCTAAAACCTCACGGAATGATTCAGGGGCATGTTGTAGCAGAAAGACAGCTCTAAACAGAAAAAGGGGCGATTTCTCTTAGGGCTTTACTGTGGGTGATGCAATTTCAGGGTTGGTTTACCACAGTTAAATCACAGGAGTGGTCCTTCCTCTTTGAAAAACAGCTAGCAGAGCTGGCCTTGAATCTGAACGCCGAATCTCAGCTGAATCTGAACTCAGACCAAGCGGTGCCAGTCCCTGAATTACTGAAGAAACGTGTGGGTTGAACTGGACACTGGGTGCAATACTCAGATTTCCATCAAGGAAAAGCAGAGATTAGGGTTCACTAAACAGAGGAGCACCGTTTCCGTTTACAGATCTGCAGGACTGCGGTCTCTGCCCTGCATGCGCTATGCCTCCCGAGTTCAACTTTCTGCAGCTCGTGAGAGCACTGTCTGCTTGTGCTGGTAGCTGGGCCTTAGGACAGTCACAGAGTTTCACAGTATATTTAGGAAAGTCTATTTATCTGATAACTAGTCTTGAAACACTTTTTTTTTTTTATGTTTTATAATTTGCTCATTTTTCTCTTGCCCTGAAGCTTGAATAACTGGGATCAGAGGAAAAGATCAAGTTCCTAGCTTGCAGAGTTGTACGCTATTACTGTTCGGTATCTATTCCTGACACTTTAGTACAATAACAACCCCCAGGCAAGTGACCAACATTTAAAAATTAGAGTTTTGTTGGACATATAAATATTTCCACTGTTGAGTTTTCATTCTTATCTGCGAATTTTCTAGCCTAGACTTTTGAGATAAGAACTTGCAGAGGTCCACATCTACCTGCGGAGAGACGAGACCCAGGAGCCTGAAGCTCTCCGTCACGGAGAGCGGATGGGGTCTGCGGCTGGAGGACTACGGTCTGACCTGCCGCGAGAAGGATCAGGTTCGTCTGAGGCTGGAGAAGCGTTAGCTCTGCCCTCCGTATCACAGGTGACTGTAGTAAGCACTGAGTTTCTGTCTGCTGTGTCCATCTTTTGTCCTGTGAAATGTTTTTTGGTTCTGAGGAATCAGCATTTTCCAGTAAGACTATTTAGTTCTGTTTTGTAGCTGTCTTTAACTGTGACTTGTTCAGAAACATTCCTACAGACTATACCAGAGAAGCATTAAAAATGTGCGTGGAGTAGCTTGTTTGGGGCTGTGTTAGACGTGTTAGCCTCTACTTCTGCTCTTTCATATATTAACCTTTACGTGGCAATTTGCAAAACGGTCCCTGAGATGCATTCCAATAACTTGTTCTGACAAATTTTTGCACTAAAATAGCTCACTTGGAATCTTGGAACCAGCAATGAAATAAAAAAACCGTGATATTTCATAATTAATTACCATAATATCTTCAGTATAAATTGATTTTAAAATAGAACTATAGAATATTATCAGGATTAAATATTTTACCACTAGCATAACCTCCCTACTAGATCTAACAATCTAGATCTAGTTCTGGATTTGAGATGTGAGTGTGCCCAGAGCTAGAAAAGAAGGGACTTGCTCTTCTACGTGTGTTTTGACTTGTTCTTAGGCACCAATCTAGTTCCAGTTTCTGGAACAGTTTCTTAGGAACAGTTCCTAAATTTAAACTGAACTGATTAGTGACGATACGAAGGAAGCCCTCGGAATAAAGTAGAGGGAATTGAGCTGGTTCAGGTAACATTAGGCAGAAGTGTCTCCTCTGAATCCGAGTGACTTTGAACCTTTGCTTCTCTTTCTTTCCTTTCCAGCCTCTCTCTCAAACCTTTTTCCGTGAAATGACAGCAGCAACACATATATCTGTTAAAAAGGCCCATCATAAATGTAAGGGCAAGAAAGTGTCTCCCACAGTGAGATTTCTGGATTTCTTGCATCACTGAGGTCCATGAAGAGATCTCATCCTGCCCCCTAGTCTCAATGAGAAATTGATAGTTCCTCTGGAAGATAAATGTCTATTTTAATTTCTGTTTGTAAGAAGATGTCTCCTTTCATGAAATGTCTGCTGCTGCCCTGGATTCAGATGCATTCTTGAAACGGGTCCGGGAACTCGGCTGCTCGGTGGTCCTTCAGGGTGACACGGTACTGAAGCAGCACGACGAGCTTTGCTGCGCTCCCTGGGATGGTTCAAAGCACGCTTTTGGTACACTCAAAATCTTGTTTATGGGTGAAAAGGAAGCGCACCTGATACACAAGGAAAGCCAATAATTTCATGTTAGTATAATTTAAATCTTAAGAGTCTAATCATTAGTTCATATCTAGTTTTTAAAGAAAAAGAAAAAAGAAGAATACCTTAAAATTTGTATATACACAATTATTTTCTACCCTGTTTGCTGGCGCTGTGCTCCTCCTTGCCCTGCTCCTCCGGACCCTGAGGTCGGGGGTGTTGCGCTGGTGCAGGTGGTGGAGGTGTTGCGGTGAGTCACAGCCCCTGCAGGTCTTTGCCAGGACCGTGATGGGCACGGTGATGGTCTCTTCTTCCTCACCCTAGGAGACACTCGAGGTCATTTCTGTGTGTTTGCTAGCACACTTTCATATCATTTCTTTTTTTCCATTGGGCTGCAGCTCCACGTTGCACCTGGATTTACTATACGCAGTGCCCTTTACGAACATTAAATACCATTTCTTTGTTGCCCCAGTTCTGTCCCCTGCCAGGTCTGCATCTCTAGCCGACAGCAGGCAAGCAGCCAGCTGCTGCAAGGGTCTCTGCGCCCATCTCCGACTGCCCCGTGCCTGCGGCCCCCAATGCCATCCCGGTCTCCCTTCCCGCGGCTCCGCTGTTGAGCCAGCCCGGCGTTTCTCTGCGCCGCAGCCCTGGCTTAGAGTCGTACACGTCTCACTCTGCACAGAGTAACGTCTTCTTACTGCGCCAAAAAGACGTAAATATAACCTTGTGGTCTTTTTTTAATGTAATGAGTATCTCACAGTTGATGAAAATATTGGAAAGGGTAGCAGAAAAAGTGCTGTGAAAACACACTAGTATTACAGCTGGCTTAACATCTAAAGGCTTTTTGTAATAATAATGTGAGGAGGAAGGATTTGGGCCAGCCAGCCGAGAACTTACCTAATCACACGTAGCTGAAATGACTTGAACGAGGTACCTTTGACAAGGAAGGAGCTTTTGTTTTTGTTAATTAGGTAGAAGCCACGAAAGTTTGTGACATGTTTGTTGTTGGACTTGGATGTGCATAGATTGAATATTGCAGATTTTTTTACATTAGACAGTGGAATGACACTGTAAATTAGATGGTTGTAATGACATCCATCCTTTCACTACGGTATTTGTAAAATCCCTGTGACCGTGCTGATGATGACTTCTTACTAACAGAGGAGAGATGAAAAGTGGGTGAATGGGACTAAGTATCCTATATGGATATGTGACCGCATATGGATTTAAATGAATATAGGAATAAAAAGATTTGAGATATAAAAGAACAATTCAGAACTTCCTCCAAAGTGATACTTGTAACAAGGGTTGATCTTGTGATCAAAGGATTATGAACGTGAGGGAGAACAAATGCTAGGAAGATTTTAAATTGAAAAAAAATAAGTCTTTGATTTTATTAATAGTAAAAGTTAATTTTGTCTCTTAATTTTGGTGACAATAAGTTTGTGACTTCTTGAAATAATTTTGATACAATTGGTCAGCTGTGAACATAACGAGTAGAAAAAGTATCACTGGAGCTCCATCTAATTGTAGCATAATCCTATGGTCAACAATTCTTCTGGAAAAAATATAGTGGAATCATATTGAATTTGCATATACGTTTCCATAAAAAAAAAAAAAATTAAAAATAGAAAGTTTTCATTCTAGAATCAAATTGGTAGAAAAAGGTCAGGATCAATTTTCTGTTTTGACATATTTGGAACATGATTTTTTATAAATAGTTTTTTTTGGTCTCTAATAATATACATATTCTACTGAAACAAGAAGTTCTGATGTGTCTCTCCCTAGTCCCAAATTAACACTCTTTCAGAATATTATTGTTTGGTGAATTTGACTCTTTTCATGTTTCATTCTAACTAAAGATGAATACAAACTTCAAGATCTTTCAGAAAACTGAGCATCAGCCCTTTCTGGGTGATATCTGCTGGATGCTGAGTGCAACACTCTGGAATAATCTCTGGTTACCGAAGAGCTTTCTGTGGTATTTTATCATGGAATTCATAGGAACTGATAGAAAGGTTTAAGCATGCAACAACCAGGCTGAGAAGTTAAGTTAGTTCTGAATATCAAAAAGACAACAGGAAAATTGCGGAACATGGCTGAAATTTATGCACATAGAGTAAGCTTTACATCATCTATTGTGGTTTGCAAGAAATTCCGTTTTAAGGACGCAGGTATATTAAGGAAAGAGGTAAACTTATACATTACATAAATTATTTACTAGTTTCAGCTTTTCATGCTTTTCAGCAGTTTTTTTCAGACAGAAGGGACACTCTCAGGCAGAAACTTAAATGAATGCCTGTTTACCACTCTTAATGTGTTACAAGCAAATGTAATGAATGATACATTAAATTGTGTTTTCTATCATTGGCTGATGTTTATTTTATGACTTGTATCACTTTAAAGGTTTTCAGCCTGTAGAGTTGGACTATTATCTGGAGTCATTTCCAAAGGAATAAATTCAAATAAAGATCTAAGATTAACAGCTGCTAAACTATAAACCTCTGTAAAGCATGGAAGATCACTTACTCAAAATGAACATTCTGTTGTTTGCACTTCATCGGATAAACTATAACTGGATATGAGTAAAGGGCTGATAGATTTTATCATACGTCATAAATTTGACAACATTTTGTTTCTAGAGACCCTCTAATACAAAACATGTGCACGAGGGTGCACTGGAGTCCTATTTTAGGCTGCCCAAAGTACAGCGACCCCTATGAAGAAATCCTCTCTTAGGATGAGGATCATCTGAGATAGCCAAAGCATGGTGGTCTCTTTGGGTGACTGACCTGCACGCCCACGGTGGCTGCAGTCAAGCACTAAAACCAGAAACCTTGAGCTCTACTAATACCCGTTAGGCAGCACCTATTTTCCACCCTTTCCGTGCATAGTGAACGTGGTAAGATGGATGGAACAAGGCTCCCTTTTTCAGTTTCTCTGCATCTGACTGGATTGGAGCTTTCATTTGTAGTTAGAACCCCTTTTCAAGCCTTGCTTCTAGCTCTGAGTTTCTTTAAAATCCTTTTTAGATGATTTACTTCCCTTTTTTGTTTATATTTTGTGGGGTTTTTTTCCTATTCTGTTTCTTCTTTTACGAATTCCTCAAAGCAGACGGTCTTTAAACTCTGTCTCTCATTCAAGAAACATTCTTTCATCTAAAAGAGAATTTCTTTCATCTGAAGAGCATATATGAAGACTTTATTGTCTTCAGGAGGAAAGTATACAAAGATACACTTTGCAGGGGCCTGTTGCAAGAAGAAAAGGAGACTGTGTTTGCTATTAATTGCTAGGCATTCCTATTTTTCTTTCTTAGATCTAGGAAATCCTGGATTTTGGGGATCTATCTCAGTGTACAATCCAAACTCTTCCTGGAAGAAGAAAAGACTCTTTGGGGCATGACTGCAGTCCTGCAAGAGGATTTTTCTCTCTTGGGTGACTGAAGAAAGTAGCTTCTTCATCACTGTTTCCTCCTGCCACATGATCTCCCACCCCAAAGCAGTTTGGCATATCCTGTTCTGAGAGGATCAGAGTATGAAAGCAAAACCATTCTTCACCTTCCTCTATGTCTTATTGACTGAAGGATATCGACTTCTTTGTCATGACCTGCCTCATCTTGAGACCAGGCTTCTCCAACATCTTGGCCTGCCTGCCCCACCAAGTGCGATGAGCACTGGTACAAGTCACAGCTGCTCCCTTTTGGTTCAGTGGCATGGTCAAAGGATGTCCTCTTTCCTCCTATTTTGATGTGGCACTTTTGGAAATGGGATCAATGCATCCTCTGACGGGAGCATGTCCTTCCTGTCCACATCTCTCATCCTTCAGTCCTGTTAGCTTCATGCCAGGGAGAGGACCAAGGCTGACAGGTGCTTCTGGAATCTGACCCAAGAGTCCTTTTTTTCACCATCAACATCCTCCTGTCCCAAGGACTTGTCAGAGATTATTTTCTTCTCTGTCTAAGGAGGAAGACTCTCCTGGAAATTTCTTTGTGGGATAATTTTAGGGCTTCCACCAATGTCTGCTGGGAAGAGGTGAGTGTGCCCCAAGTACCACTGCAGTCTGCACCAGGTCCTCCTCTGCTGTGACTCAGAGTCTGCACCTACTTCTCTGTCTTGACTTGCCTCTCTTTAGACCCAACCATCTGTAATCAGGTTGCTTCCCTGGGGCATCCCTGCCTTTTGTGAGGCTTCTGTGCAGCAGGTGACTCACTCTGCTAGATTCTGGTATTAGAAACAGATTTTCCTCTCTCACACACCTGAATTAGTTAATACTTAAAGCATCCTCAGAGAGCTTATTTATCTTGTAAGATTAGAAGGAAAACGCAAGGGAGGATACTTAGAAAAAATTGTAGTCTTCCAGCATACATTAACAAATATATATAATAATATATAAGAGTGTGTGTGTATGTGTGTGTATATATATGTTTGTTTGATGTGTACATCTGTGGTTGGAGCAGGAAAACTGCAAAAGCACCTTTGGATAGTTGGACGGTAGAGAGCCCTGATGACGTGGCCTGCTGATGCACAGTCTGCAGGTGCATAGCTCATCCTCTGCTCAGACTTGATGAATTTCTTTGCATGACTTGGTCTCCAGAGCCTGGAAAGAGATAGTGGAAGGCCTTTGAAAGACAGGCCTTGAGTTGTTTAATTCTCAGCTGTGTTGCTAGAAACACTTTAAGAGCTCTGAGGTGACTCTTCACTTTTCTTTTTTGGGTGCCAGTGCCCAAAAGAAACAAACAGTCAAGCTGTGTATGTGTCCTCTTGGTGGAACGTGTCCTGTGCTATACCCTCAATATTTGGGTCCGTGTCAGGCTGTATCTGGACAACAGTGTAGATTGCTTCTTCTGGCTGTATCTCAGAAGCATTAACTACCTTGGCAGACAACTTAAACTATGTTAGTTAGATAAATCAGGCGTGGGAGAACTGAGATGATAGTCTAAGGGTAATTCTTGCAATTTAGATTAATTTAATATTGACCTTTTTACAGCCCAAAGGACCAAGAAGGACAGAATAACTTCAGAACGGAGCATCTGGTATCCCTTTGAGATGGCTCTCGGAAGATCTACAGATCTTTTTGCCCATCTCTTTCATCCCAAGAGTGTGGTAGAAGGTAAGTCAGAATTTATCCAGGGAAATTTATTGAAGTTTTAACTACCTGGAATGAACAAGGCTATTTTGGTTTCAGGACTTGTACCTTGTCTCAGATCACACATATTGTGTTTTGGTTTTAGCAGTAGATTTCCTGTTAGGGTTCCTGACATCACGGTGCCTGTATTGTCCTTGGGGTTAAAGTGGACTGTTCTTCACCAACAAGGCATGCCCTTTTTCGTAAAAAGCCCTGTAAAGAAGGCTTTAGGTTTTGGCTTAGTGTTTTGCCAGGCCTGCAGTTCTGATGAAGTCCACTTACATGAAAGGTGTGCCCTACACCTAAAGTTTGGTGAAAGCTCATTTGGCAGCCACTTTGTCTTTACACCTGTACACAGAAGTACGCTTGTTAATCTCTTGCCCATCTGCAACTTCCTTCTGTGGGGGAAAAGCCTCAATGAAAGAGATTCTAAGATTGCATTTTCTGAAGTGGAATGCTATCTTACTGCAGTGCACCAGATGTATTTTAAAAAGTTAATATTTAGTTATATAGCCTGGAGTCTGTTTATATAGTTACATTGAATTGGGAATTATTATTTTTTTACAGTCTCATTATTTACGGTTGGAAGTCAGGTAATGCCTTCCATATGAGATCTTGTACCTCGAATGCCTCTATGTGCTCGGGCGGTCCAGGGCTGCTGTTCTCCCTGTTTGCCACAAACACCCTGGTGAACTGCGCTCATTGAGGGCTGAAGCTGTGGGATGTGTGCAAAGAGTTCATGAAATCCTATTCTCTGGACACCACAGTCTTTGCTTATAGTGCCAAGATCCTCTTTGTCTGAGCAACAGGCAGACAGATCTCCAGGTTTCTTTAGGACCATGTTTCTGTGTTTAATTACAGCTCCCACTTTCCACTGCTTGTTTCTAAATTTCCGCTCCAATTCTTCTACACAGACAAACATTTGTCTCTCTGGCGTAAAAGCTTTGTGAATTCCTATATCCATGCATATTTTGGGTGAGCCTCATTGCAGGTAAAGTCACCTGTTGTTTCAGTTAACTGGTTTTGCAAGGAAACATTGTCATTTCTTATATGTGTCAATGAGCAGAAGCTGTTATTAATGTCTATGAAATTCACTCCAACCCGTAACTCTATCAGAATATTTTAACCTATCTTCCAGGATAATGCAATTCATGATCATTCTGGATCAATTTTTGTGAATGCAAAAGTTTCTTATCTATTCACTTATATATTTAAATTAATTCACTTCAAGCCTTCTCCACCTACATCAGCAAGAGGTTTTGCATGCAGCAATAAATTTAACCTAGAAAGCAAATGATACAACTATGTGGAAAAAAATGGTCAAAATAGATTTCTGAATGTGTATGCACAACTACTCATGTCAAAAGAACTTATCAATTTGTTCAACCGTGTCAGCAAGTACCACACAACATCCTCAGCTAGAGAGCAAAGCATAAATTTCAAATACTTATCGTTCTAAAGAGTAGCAATTGGTAACTTGTTATTAAACAAATTGTTATTATTTTCAGATGATCAGGGATATTCAGTGAGCAAACAGACCAGATTCACTGAGTTGCTTGATATAAACTGCTCGTTCTAGTAGGTATGATTATGTACGTATACATGCACAATTTGATAATAGGATTGAAATGTTTGTGCTGTGATTGAATGTCATTTTTCTGCTTAAATATTGCCAGAGGGTTTCTTCTGGTCAGTGATAGCTAAAATGAAGTTACACTTTTCTTGAAAAGGAAGAAGAAGAAATTAAACTTTCAGATGAAAAATTGTGTGGGTGTGTAAGGCCTGCTCAAGGTCTGGGAAGAGAGACTAGCTGAACTTTGAAGAGAGTTTTAGGAGTATGAGGTACTGGAAACGAAAGAAGTAGGTTTATCAGCTTTTCTTCTGCAGTTCCTATGAATAGAAACCTATGGCTTTTTGTGATTCTGTAAGCTTGAAGCTTTCTTTTGAATTTCATACTGTTAAGCATAGGGTAGAATATTACAAATGCAGAAATCTTAATTATGTGAAGGGGATGCCTGTTTGCTTACTGATGCATTAAAAGTTCATATTGAGGGCTTATATCTCAGTCATGATAGTTTAGTTTTATTTTATATCTTGTTCTCCTGCAATAACTGCTGTCAGAAGAGTTTTCTGTGTGGCATTAGGTCTCCTATTTTCAGATATGACTGCATATAAGACATAGTCAATCATCTAAAAAAGGTCCTCTGTAGATAAGCCTGGTATTGTGGTGTAAAACTGCTGATAGTGTATCTGTGGAAATCTTTGGTGGGTCAGTTCTTTCCCAGACCAGCATCTCAAACTAGAAATAATGGTGATCTTAATAATGGTGTTATTAATAACTAGAAATAATGGTGATGTTTCATATCAATGTCCTTCTTGCAGATTTAGCTATTAGTTCCTTTCTCCTGACTCAGGCTAGGGACTTGTGGCTACAAGTTCATGATCCTTGTTGCCAACAACATAACTGGAGGCATCATGTAATATTTGCAAAAATGGCTTTGATGAAACAAAAGAGAGTTCTTGTGTGCTACAGCTCTACCAGTATGAAAAGAGATTGGTAGTTAACTGCTTTTATCTTTCATTTGCTTCACAGTATTCAGGTGAAAATGAGAAGGCTGCTTCTGCACAGCTTCTGTGCTGAACATACTCCTCCTAACCTTGAAGACACACTGCCAAAGCATGCAGGAGTTACCTTTTCAGAGGGTGTAGTGGTACAGTTTTATGTGGGTACTCTTATACTTTCTGAGAGACTTTGTACGGTGTTTTTAAGGCACCTTCTACAACTTCTACATTTGCAACTTCTACATTTGGGGTTGTGGGAGGGGGAGACCCTCAACTCTCTTTGCAGGACCTTCAGCGGATGCGTAAATTACCGCAGCCTCACAGGCTGCCTTCAGGCTGCCTTGTGTACATTGGGACCTTGTCAGAGTCTGGCACCTGAGCTATGGTTTGCAAGTCATTCTTAGAAAGCAACTTCATACCTTTTTCCACAGTACTTGTGATACAGAAACATCCCCACTGCTGGGAGCAGGGCTTTGGGCTTTCAGGTCTCCCTAGCGAGCTTGCTGAGAGAGGGACTTTTGTGTTGCCTTCCACACGGAAGGATGCATTCTTGTGTGGACCAGAAAGGGATGCTCTGTTTTTCATAATTAAACCTACAAAGTATTAAATAAACTGGGCTGCTTGAGAACATAGAGGGTCAGAAATTGGAATTTTTTTCAGAGATCAGTACCCACCCAATGCATGAGTGCAATGTATTGTCACTCAGTGTCAGCAGCACAGAATAACCACTGTGTGGCTGCCCTCCGACTATTAGATTCCTAAATCCCCAAAGTGCTTTCAGTGTCAGTATTGGAAGTGCAATTAAACGCATTTATTGTAGTCAGTCGTGTTAAGTGCTCCTCTGGCTTCGTTCTATGGGAGGAAGAACAACACCGGTCATTGCGCTATGTTTTGCTTGCGGTGAAGGCCCCTACTTTTAGCAGGTGAGGTTTTTCATTAGTTTGTTGAGGGAATATTGTGAAAAAGATGTTATTAGCCAGCTGGTCTCTGACCTGACTTGCTGAAAGGAGATGAGATGTAAAAGTGAAATGAAAGGAAACAAACTGCAGTGCGAATTCCTGTAGTTAGGTCTTCTGTAGACCAGCTGCTCAAAGGCAGATAAAGTCTGTGAAGCGGTTTTCTTGTGTAGTGTTTGCCTGGATATTGCCTTATTTGAGATCTGAGTAATTCAAATACAGGGTAGTCGGTTGTGGGTTGCTGTCTGTGTCATGAGAACACACAGATCCTGTACGGGATTTGACCAAAGACCCACCTAGGCCAGTATCCCTCTCAGGCAATGGTCAACAGCAAATGCCTAAGGAAGAGCATGACCCCAGGGTGAAAGGATAGCGATACTCGCTGATACACTCTCACATTCCTCAGATCTGTACCTATGGGCCTTTCTGAGTCAAGCAATATTTTTGTCATTAAAAGTTCTTTATATGTTACTCTTCAGTGAATTTACATAATTGCTTTTCAAGCCTAATCGTTTTTTTAACTCAAAGTAAGCGCTCCTTGTCCAACTGTGCTCTGACTGCTATCTGCTGTAAAATATACTTCTCATACAGATACAAACGAACACAGATGCAGATGATTAATTTCCCCAGTGGGATTGCACACGAGGTAATTCAGGTTGGAAGCCTTGTTTGAAGTGACTTGCTCTTCATTCTTATACTAGACGTATAAGGTGTTTCTCTAACATGTTTCTCATCATCCTCCCTCCACTGAACCAGGTCAGACCAGTTGACGCTGGCCCTGTCGATCTAAGTCACGTGTGCTTTTGGCACAACCTGTCCTTTGAGAGATCACGTCCTCGTTGGCCAAACAATTGGGGCTCAGACCTTCCACATGGGTACACTGCACGGGGGTCGGGGGGGACTGGCTTGTAGGGTGGTTGCCATTGAGTTGGTGAGGGCGTCTGCCCATCTGTCAGACCACGCTGCGATGACCAGCCCGCTGTGTGTGGCTTTTTCCTCCACAGTTTGTGATGAATATCTGAATCCCCCATGTTGAGAAGGTCATTGCGGCCGAGCAGTTCAAATCTGCAGAGCTAGGTGCCGACGTCCTCTGGACCTGGGCAGGCGCGAGGCCTCAGCAGGGCTGGCAACGCTCAGGGCTGTGCTGAGATTCACCTCACTTTGACGGAGTTTCAGTTGCTAATTGCTTTCTAAATACTTTAATTCATTTATAAATCACGTCGCTATAGTAACAACAATTTCGATGCATTACGAATATCAGATGCCTCTCAAATCAATTTGTTTTCCCGTGTTGCCATAGTGACAGACGTTTTGCCAGCGTTATTTAGGTAGCGAGGAATCTGGAGATCTTTACAGAAAACGGGCTGCCGTTGGGGTGCGCGGCAGCGATGCCGTGTGCAGCCCACGGAGGCTGAAGACCCTGCTGGGATGCCAGCCGGCTGCTCGGCCTCTTGCTGCCCTCCTGCTTCCTCGCGCCTGCTGCAAAAGCCCTCGGGTCTCTTGGGTCTCAGGGAGTGCTAACAGGCTTCGGCACAAACAGTCCCCTCAGCTGTTGCTCCGGCTCCTTCCTCTCCATCTCTGAACTCAAGCACGTAGCCTGTCCGCTGTCTCATCGCTTCCTGTCGTCCGGCTTGGCTTTGGATCTCACCCAGTCTGGCAGCTTTCAGTGCTTTCCTTTTCTGCAGTCTCTAATGATTTCCCCATTTATAGCTGGGTTTTTGCTCCCACCTCAGCCTTTTTAACCTCTGTTTTTTAAAGCACTGTCTATAAGCAAAGGTTGAAATGCTACCTAAATGAGTTAGCTTGGTATAATCATTAGTGATGCGGAATAGGTGCGTTCTGAAAAATCTCAACACTTGATTTAATTGCCTAATTGGCAGCTGAGGTCTTTGGAAAGTCTGGCTTGCTAAATCTAGCATGTAACCTATTTTTTATTATTCAAAATCAGTGTTGCTTCACAGTGGCAGCAACCACACTTATTATCAAACCATTTGGGAAGCTCTGCCTTTGGTGTTCCACTAGCTCAGCTGTTCCCCTGTTAGGATTCAGCACCCTAAGCAGGATGGGCTCTCAAGTCTTGTTGTTGCAGCCAATGTTACCCTTAGTTCTTAGGACTGCCTGAAATTCTTGGTGTGCAAGAAAAGTCACAGGCAAAGAAAGTTTAAGCATTGTAGCTTTACATCATCCACATTTTCCAGGTTCCTGCAATCTCTTATTTGGAGAATAATAGTGTCATTTTTAGATCCTAGTCCATAGCATCCATCTATATTTGGCAATCTAGGAAATAGAAAAATGTTTGAAATGAGCTATTATTCAACGTGTGAGTGGTCAAAATATATGTGAGCTTTGGAAAGCAAACTAATCTTCTGACTAAGAGTTAGGAACCTCCAGCGGACATACAGGATCCAATGGGGCTGTAGGACTGCATTCTTGTATGCTGCAGTTCGGCAGAACATTTCTGTTCCCTTACCCAGTCTGCATTGGGAAAAGGTATTATATTATTTTCTTGCAAAATAATATGCAATACTTCTATTCGAAACGCCCAGGCAGAGGAGCCAGTACGCTGAAGCAGCAAGCTGACATCTGGCAAGCAAACTGAGGAGAATACCTTGCGGCAAGGCAAATGTTCTTCTGTACCAACTCTTTCATAAATCTATCCATCCGCTGTGTATGTACACGCATGTGTCGTGCCTCTGTGTGTGCAATCCTAAGCTTCATACAGTGCTGCTAAACTTAAGAACATCAGCAAGTTGGAGGAGAAAATGCCCCAAAGATAACATTTTTCTTCTATATGGAAGATAACAATGTGGGGGTTATTCTTCCTGAATAAATCACTGCAAGCAGTTAGAGGGATTTACAAGCCCTGTTTGTACTTTCTCTACCTTTCTCACACTGTCATTGCTTCACCTGCATGCTTCCCTCCACTTGGTGGTGGCATTTTCTCTTTCTTCTCTTCTTTCCTCCAGTTTTTTGAGTAACTGTGCATGTGTGCAAGGAGACAGTTCCCTTCAGTCATAAATATATGACTGAAGTTTCACTGAGTATTTACTTTTCTTTGTGATGCAGTGAAGTTTGACGCTTGGATCCTTCCTGCACTGGGTTTTCTGGCACTCAGAACACTGTCTTCTAATGTGGAAGGCAAGAGAAAAGCTTAAAATCTTGAAACTGCCACCCCATGATCAGCTCTGCCTTGTCCTCAGGTTTGCTGTCCTGTGCAGACCTGACTTGAGAGGGAGCCAGGCCAGCACTCCGTCTGTGCTGAAATCAGTCTAATACTGGATCCAGGTTAAGGGGGAACTGCAATCACGTCACAATCCCGTATTGCCCTTTACAGGCAGATATGGTTCCAGCAGATGAAAGAATCGCTGTGTCCTGCCCCAGCGATGTCTTCCAAATTCCCTTTTCTCCTGGTGGAAGGTGTCAGGATGAAAGGGCTGTAGCTAAGAGTGATTGCATAGCATTTTTGGTGAGCAGTCCATCTACAAGGTTGGGAGGCACAAGCACCCACTCTGCAGCACCAGGCAGAAGCTCCCAGGTCCATGGTGGATGCCTAAGCGAGCCACAAGCTCGGTGGCATCCCCTCCCAGTCCCGCTCTGAAAGTGGATCTGTTGGCATCAGTGCCTGTTTGCTTGAGAAGAGCTGTGCTGGGGTCTTCCTGCTTACTGAGGAAACAAACGCTGCTGCGGAGGGAGTGATTTCCTCACAGAACGAAACACAGTGGGAAAGGGATTATTCCCGCGGAGAGAAGTGAAGGAAAAACTGTCAGGAAGAGCGCCGGGAAGCAGCCAGGGCAGTGTTGTGCGAAGAAGGCAAGTTTCTCCACTGAAGATACAGCTTGTTCGAATCAAGACAGTAAGAGATGATGTCAATGTTCGCTGTATTTTTTTATTCTGGCTATTAAATATCTACAGAAATGCTCCACCTTGATAATGGGCTGTACTTATTTTCCTATTACTATTTTTGGCTGTCATTAACCTTTTGTGTTCTGAGCAAAACTGCAATCAAACACGGTGAGGTCTGTTGCGCCAAGGCATTTGCTTCTGTTACTATGCTGCACAGGTACTACTCATTTTCTGCAGAGAAAAATTGCAGCACCACCTGCTGTAAATAAAATTATTGTAACATTTTTTTTTCCTGAATTGAAGTGTACCATTTATAAATAGCTTATCTGAATGGCATTTACTGCTGTTTTCTTTTCTAACAGCAGCAGGCTTCCAATCACTGGAAACTCGTGGTTATTAAAACATAGTAAATTGGACTGCAAGTTAAAAACTCTTATTCTTTTCTAAAGAACTGATTGCTATACGGGCTTGCTGAATTTTAAAACCAAAAGGGAAAGGAAACTTTTTCATCTCTGTATGTCTCAAGAATACTAACAATCTTGATCCTGCTGACCATTTGTCTTGAGCTGTACCATGCTTTGAGAACACCTTCTATGACTGTTACTTCTTTGTTTTACCCAGAAATAGGGTGGTAAAAGAAAATGGCTGAGAACTTAACATCCCGGTTAAATCCAGTGCCGGCAGCTTTCTGCAGATATAGGGTTGCTGTGCAAAGCTTGCAAACTAGCCCATTCTTAGCTCTAAAACGTTCTTGTTTAGAAGTGTCCAGCCAAATTCTGGTGCTTCTGTGCTTATGGCACCGTTCCTGCAGTCACGTTGCTTCGGCTGCGCAGCAGCAGCATCCGTAAGGAACAGGCCATAGCACAAGTGCCCCGAGTCCTGCATCCCACATCTCTCTTCCTGTGAATAGCTCTCTAATTTAAGGAAATCATCATTCTGCTCAAGATAACCCTAAAATTGCCCACATTTCATTGCCTCAAGAGCTTTTCTCCCTGTTGTCTGGCAAATGCTGAACAACACCCTGAAATGAAGGTGTTGGAGGGCCTGCCCCCATGGATGCTCTCAGGCACTCAGCTGCAGCAGATTTTCAAATTTCCCCATTAAGTGGTTTCTGACTTTTTTTTTTTTTTTTTTTTTTTCCCCCTCCCTTCAGGTGGTCTGGATAAATAATGAAGGCTGGCACGTCCTCTACGAATATCTAACCTCTGGCAGAAAAACAGTACAAAGGCTGTATCACCAGGCAGAAAAGGCCATGTCCCTTTATACTGTTCCACATTGCAAGGGCAGAGGAATATTTAAAACAGAGAAAGGGTGCGTGGTCTGCACTCAGTGCTATTAACTCACGGGACTCACCAAGGAAACATCGCATGACACCAGCTCTGAAAAAGCCACTCCAGGCTTCCAGAAGTGTGACGACTTCACACCAGTATGTACTGGCAACTAGGGTAAGTTGGATACCACAGACTTTATGATGGCTTTGTAATTACAAGGCCTACCTGTTCTAATGCTGTGCATTAAAAATCATTATATAGGATGAAAAATAAACCTCTTAGCAGATTACTGTTGCAAAATTATATGTATGATACTTGGCTTTCTTGGAAGTAGTGAGCTTCAGTATCCATCAAGGGTAGTACAATTACTGTAATGAGCTTTTGGCAGGCTTTTTGGAAGTATAATTCTTTTTATTCTTCTGTTAAGAAAGCAAAACAAATATGTGACTCTGGAAAAGGAAGGTCTCTTCCAAACCCCTTGCTCCCCACCTTCCCCAACGCCCACACGTATACCAAAAAGAGGAGAGGGTTTTGTAAATGTCTTGCTAATGACAGCTTTTCTTCCAGAGTGATGTCTCAGAGTGTAAGCAGCTGCTTCTGGAGAATTCAACCTTGACAAGGCATCTGCTCCAACCACTTTAGATGTGGTAAAGCTGCAGGGGGAGGGATTTTCTTATAGGAATTGTCTAAACTACTGGAATTTAAAGTGAAAATAAAGCAAGAGACAGATGGCCTGTGTCTTCTGAAGTAGCAAGGCCAGAACTAGCAATGGCGGTTCAGAGAAGCACACTGGATCATAGAAATAGTGGCTGAGAGCTAGAAATAGTCTTGGACCCCATAAACTCTGTTATTGCGTTCCCATTTACATACGTAACATTCATGGAAATGCAATCGTGGTATGTATTATTCATCTGAAATACTATTCAAACCTCTGATTTCTGCTTTTCAGAAACCGTGAGCCTGGTTCTCTCTTTCGCTGCATTTGCCCCCTCTTAATGACTAAAGAAAATACAACGTTTTGTAGGAGTCTGCGCTTTGCTGGGAGAAGGGAGGTGCTGTCATTCCACGTGTTTGGATGTCTGTATGTGTGGTGTACAGTCTGCCAGCAGTCCCTAAGAGGGCACCAGTCTACTACACAGTCCTGTTCCCAACAGTGGGCAGCCCAAAGAGCTGCTGGAGATGGGGCACAGTGAGGAGCACCCGTGCGAAGCCTTGCTGCTGGGTCTAGACTCTGACCACAGCTGACGGTCTTAATCGCCCCCAAGATCTGCGGTAAGTAGGCCTGGCTGCAGGAAGTCTGGCTGAGAGAAGAGATAATTCGGTGGCGCTTCAGTGAGCTTTGCTGTTGGTGCTGGCGAGCTCACCCCGGGAAAAATGCCCGTGCCCTGGAGGGCTGCAGTGGATACCCTGGAAAACTCCCAGCCAGGCAGGCACCAGCAGAAACTGTTATCGCTTAAGCTTTTACAGTGTTTTTTCAGTGATGTGTTCTGGGGAATAACTGAAAATCTCAAGTCTCGCTAGTTTGGGGTCTCCCCACAGAAGTAAGAGGTGACTTCTGCCACTGCACTGAGCTTCTGGAGGGCCAGCAGGGCTGGCCCGGACTGCAGACAGTGCAGCTGCCAGAGTGAATCCGCTCCCCACTAATTAGCTCTGTAATTAAGGGTTAGAATAGCCTGAGTGGTTCTTTGGTGACAGTGGGAGGCTGCATTCACAGAAAGCCGAAGAGATTAGGGTTTCTGAAAAGGCCGTAGACTGAAAATCAGCATGCGGGAAACAAAAGGAGGAATGTCTCTTTCTGCAGAGGGGATTTTATCTAGGCAGTCCAACTTCCCAGTTTAACGTTGTAAGCACTGAGCTCCAAAATAGAAATAGAGGTTGCCACCATGTCCTCTGTTTTTTTTCTACCCTGAAGAAATGAAAGTCTGGAACATCAAACTGAACTGCTTTCGTATTGTGTTTAATAGCCAAGGGGGCCGTTAAATTTGACTTGAATTTACAAATAACTTCAGCTTCCCTGGTAAGAGGTAGAGGAGACTGAGGGAACATCACAAATGTCAGCATGCTGTCCTCCAGATGGTCTCTGTCCTACCTCTGTCTAAGTGGATATACTGTCTTTATTACTGCAAGCTCTCACACCTCCATGCATTTGCTGTGTTGATACCTTTTCCCTCCTAATAATCGCCATGCTCACGTGGGGAGAAACTAAAGCACACCAGAAGGAAGGCGTCTACAGAGGAGCCTGGAGGGATTTCACAGGCAGATGATGCTTTGGCCTGAGTCCTCGCTTGCTGTGCTGTTTCGCTGATCAGCGTTGTTTGGGTGCAGGGATCACGTGCTGTCTGGGATCCTCGCGGTGGGATCGCGTGCTTTCTCTTGATCACCTCCACTTCCTCTGTAGAAAGAATAGCATGCAGATAAAAGAAAGAAAAAGGAAAGCTTTAATTTTGTCTCACTGCCCCCAGTGGCACCTGTGCTGCTGTCGGGAGCCCTGGCCTGCAGCAATGCATTCCCAGGGCGCGATGAAGAAGCAAAGAATCAGGGTAAAATCAGGAATTCAGTATAAAAACAGCAAAAAATCAGGAATTCAGTATAAAAATAGCCCCAACAGGCTGGGCCTGACCATGCTAAACCTCAGTTAGCAAGAGGCAAAATGTTTGTTTTGCTTCCTGCAGCACCCACCAGGCAGGCAGAAGGCTGTCGCGTCAGCACGGACATCCATCATACCGCTGGCTGTGACTTTGCTTGTAAGGAGAGGAAAAGGGTCCAGGCGGAGCTCGGGAGCTGGGGAGGCTCCTTCGCCCCCTCCCCCAGCCGCTCCCCAGCCCTGCCTTCCCTCCCTGCAGCTCGCGTTGCCTACAATAATGGTCACAAATAGATGGACTTTTTTTCCCCCCCGTCAGTTGATGAATTGATGACTTATGAATACATTTCTGTTATATGACTGGCTCTGTCGACCTCTAAGGAATATTCATAATAAAAAAGATTGACAGAAAATAAAGAATGCAAATGCATTTTGAGCAGCTAATATTTTTTTTTTTCCTCATGCTGCCAGCTCAATTTTCAGGGCAGTAAAAAGTAGTGCTTCTGCAGTACGGAACTGATCTTGATGGCAAATTAGCTGGAGCCTCACTAATGGGAAACAGCTTGGCTCTTGCAGAGTGCAGGAGCATCCCAGCGACTCCCCCCGGCACAGGTCACGAATCACTCGGCGCGAGCTGGCACCACCCGCTCCTAGAGCGGGAGAGCCTGGGCTGCTTGCACGCACTTTAAAAATACTCAGGACAAAGACGAGTTGTTCGCAGGTTGAAAATATATCTCCTAGGACCCCTGAACTGGAAACCGCACCCTGCTCCCCTGGCTGTCGTTGGCAATGCTGTCTGCCCTGCCCGTGAGCTGGCCTGGAGCCACCGAGGTTTGGTTGGGTTTTGTCGCCTCAGCCTCCTTGGGAACCTCTTCCTGAACCTTGCTGCTCAGACGGTCAAAAGCCTGGTCTAATTTCATGGATTTGAAGGTTCTTATGGTTAGTTTTCCTTTGTGTTTTGGGGGGCTCCACAATTTGTGCTTTAGCTTAAATAACTCCTCTCTGGCAAGTATTCCAGAGTATGTATTTTGGTCAAGCTTGTCCCCTCTGTCATCTGTGAGGGAAAACCACTGTGGTGGCTCCATCTGCCCACAGACTCTCTGGCTTCGCTTGCTCGCAGAAACGCGATTGCTGCCCGTGCAGCGCCAGCTGAAGGTCTGAGCTCTGCTTTGGGCCATCTCCTCGCCTCCTGGCATGGCGTTGCCTCCTGATGGGAGCCTGAAATTCTCCCCTCTGATGACATGGAATGGGAGGTCATATATCCATCAATTCCCGCACTGTTTTGCGCAATCCAGAGTAATGGTTATGGGGAAAAGCCTGCAGTTTTTACAGGCTGATATTGGCACTTCTTCATGTTGAGTGCTTTTGTTTGAAACCTTAATGTCCTGTAAAGGAGGTTGTAGTGCTCATATTTCAGCATGAGATTACTTTTAAGGGAAAGCTGCAAATTCATGTAGTTGGATAACCCTTCAGCGGAGAATTTTGGGACAGGAAAAAATAGTGCCGAGAGAATGGTTTTGTTCACGCTTCGCATGTTTTTCAGACCTTGAGAACGTGAATTTTTGTACCTTCTAGTACAAAAATCCTTTCCAGTGCTTTGATTCATCTGATAAAGGGTAGCTCCAGCAATTACACATTAGGAACGTTTTCCAGGGCAAAAAACATCCCCTTATTTGTGTAATAGACTTGAAAACAAAGCAGTTGCAGGCTACTCGGAGCATAATAAAGGCCAAATGTATCTTGCTTACTAACTTCACCTTTAGTTAAAACTTGAAAGTGATTGTTTTGCATTTAAGTATATTCTAATAGTTGTCTGTATTGCTGCCTGTGAAAATTTAATTTCTGTGATAAATCATTTTCATGTTCAGTGTGCTGGGTGAAAAGATTCCACATTTCAAAAACTAAACTGTCTCTATATTAACACAACTATTTACAAAGAGGCTGCAATTGCTACTAGCATTCAAGTCTTGTGCGTACAGATGGGTTTCCCAGTGCTGCCTCAGAATTACTTCCTCCTGCAACCCACAGCTGTTTCTGCTAACCTCTGTGCATTTTGCGTCTCTTCTTTTACCAGCGTTTGCATCTGTTCTGATAGCACTGCTGACTTACCGCAAGTAGATTAAGTGTGTGCTTTTCTCCAGGGACACAGCCTTTCCTACTAGATCCCCGTGCTTTGAAAGATCTAGGACTTAAAGCAGAACTCCTCTTGTAGGTGGTTGCATTGATACTGCAGGGACACTATGTCCATCTCTGTTGCCACCTCCGTCCTACAGAGTGGGATCTCTATGTGCTTCGGCATCGCTCGTGATCTCCGGTTGCCTGTGCTCTGCTACGCCAGATCTGCTGGTGGGTGAAGTTCTGCTTTCCGGACCCTGCGCTTGACTGCCTCTGCCTGGGTTTCTCTGCCTCCTGCCTCTGCTC